AGCCCATTGTGATGTTATACTTAAAGCCCATCAGAATGGAAACACATTAAAAATTTCATAATCCATTTGTCTATTAGAAGAGACTTCATGAAAAATAATGTCCAGTGGCTCCTAGGGCACTTTTTAAAATTAGGATATATTTGTAGTACATAATGGTTATATTCCTTGTGGGGCATTTGTATATGTATATAACACATCTTAATTCTTTTTTCATCCCCCTTTACTTCCCTTCCTGTCCTCCCTCTCCATCTCTTGTTCTCTTCCCTTTTGCAAAAGATTTATCTCCTATTTCCTATTATCTTTTATTTTGCCCTTTATTTATATTTTGGGTTTTTCATATCAGAGAAACAATGGAATATTTAAACTTGTGTGTCTCATTTATTTCACTTAACATTGTAGTCTCAAGTTGCATCCATTTTTCTATAAATGACTCAGAGTTTATCCTTTCTGGCAGAGTAGTACTTCAGTTGTGTATAAAGACCACACTTTATCCATTCATTTGTTGATGGACATATAGGCTGCTTTCAAGATTTAGCTATTGTGAATTGTGTGGCTATGAACATAGGTATGCCTGTGTCACTGTCATATGTCTTTAACTCTTTCAGGAAGATACTTAGAAGCTGGGTCAAATGGAATTTCCTTTTATTTTTTTGAGGAATCTCCATACTGATTTTAGTAGTGGTTGTACTAGTTTACATTTCCATTAACAATGTAGAAGGGTTTCATTTTTCCCCAAAGCTTTGCCAGCATTTGTTAGTATTTGATTTTTTATTTGATGATAACCATTCTTTCTGGAGTCAGATGGAATCTCAGTATTGCTTTAATTTACATTTCTTGAATGGCCAAGGATGTTGAACGTTTTTTCATGTATTTATTGGCCATTTGTACTACTTCTGAGAAGTGACTATTCATTTCATTTGCCCATTTTTTGATTAGGTCTTTTATTTTGGGAGAGGGTCTAATTTTTTTGAGTTCTTTATATATTCTAGCTATTAGTCCTTTGTTTGAGGAATAGCTGGCAAATTTTTTTTTTTTCCCATTCTGTAGGTTGTTTCTTCACTCTGTTGGTTGTTTCTTTTCCCTTGCAGAAGCTTTCTAATTTGATATAATCCCATTTGTTTCTTGGTGTTAATTCTTGTAGCATTGGGGTTCTGTTCAGAATGCCCTTGTATACAACCTGTGTCTTCCAGCAGATAAGTACTTCTTTTTAACATTTACATCTTTTATCCATTTTGATTTTATAGAGATACAGTGAGAGATGTGAGACTAGACTCAATCTTCTGCATGTGGCTAGCCAGTTTTTCCAGCACCATTTTTAAAGGACCTGTCTTTCCTTTAGTGCATGTTTTTGGCTTCTTCATCAAAGATTAGATAGCTGAATGTGCCTGGGGTTGTTTCTTCTTCCTTTGTTCTGTTCCACTGTTCCATATGTCACTTTTTGTGCCAGTCCCATGCTGTTTTTATTACTGTAGCTTTGTAATATAACTTGAAGTCCAGGATTGTGAAGCTTTCTGCCCAGGATTGGTTTACTCTATTGGATCTCTTCTGGTTCCATGTGAATTTTAGGATTGTTTTCTTTAGTTCTGTGAGGATTGTTTCTTTAATTCTGTTAAGTCTGTATATCAGTTTTTTTTTCTTTCAGTTTGGAAGTATGACCATTTTGACAATATTGGTTCTACCTATCCAGAAACAGGGAGTATATTTCTGTTTTTTGATGTTCAGTGCCACCCCCTCCTTCCCTCCTTCTTCTTCCTCCCTCCTCTCTATGCCTGCCTGCCCCCCCTCTCGACAGGGTCTTGCTGTATAGTGTTAGGGTAGTCTTGAACTCACTATGTAGCCTAGTGAGGCCTTGAACTCATGACAGTCTTCTTGCCTGAGCTTCCCAAGAGTGGGATTATAGGTATGTGTCACACACTCACCGGATCTCCTTTTTGATATACTGTAGTTTTCATTGTAGAGGTCTTTCATTTCCCTTAATTTCTAAGTATTTAATTTTTTTTTTTTTTTTTTAGACATACTCTCATATCTAGTTTGGGTTGGCCTTGTGCTCACTGTGAGCCCAGGTTAGCCTCAAACTTGCAGGGATCCTTCTGCCTTACTCTCCCAAGTGCTGGAATTACAGGCGTATGCTACCACACCTTAGTTTTTGGTTTTTTGTTTGCTTGTTTGTTTTGGGGGAGACAGGGTCTCACTATGTAGTTGAGACTGACCTGGAACTCACTAGTAGCCCAGGCTGGTCTCGAACTCACAGCGATCCTCCTGCCTCAGCCTCCCAAGTGCTGGGATTACAGACGTGTGCCACAACACCCGGCCACACCTGTCTTAGTATTTAATTTTTCTTGATGCTGTTTCGAATACTGTTATTTTCCTAATTTCTTTTTTGCTGACTTCATTTTTTTTTTTTTTTTTTTTTTTTTTTTAGTAACATTTTTTGTATGTGTTGTGTTTGTATCCTGTTACACTACTAAATTTGGTTATTAATCCTAGGAGTCTTTTGGTGAAATTTTTGTGGTCTTTTATTTGTAGGATCACATCATCTGCAAATAATGATTATTTGACTTTTTCCTGTTCATACCCTTTTATTTCTTTTCTTGGCTAATCTGGTTAATGTTTTGAGTTACTGAATTTTGAGTTACTGAGCAGAAGGGGTGATAGTGGACATCCTAGTCCATCTTGTTCCTGATTTTAGGGGGAATACTGAACCCCCATTTAATATGATGTTGGCAGTAGGTTAGTCATAAATGGCATTTATCAGATTGAGATAAGGTCCTTTTGTACCTATTTTCTTTAGGGCTTTATCATGAATGGATACTGGGTTTTGTCAGAGGTTTTTTCCACATCTGTTGGGATGCTCAATATGATTTTTGTCTGTTAATGTGATGTAATAGATTTATTTATTGATTTGCATATGTTGAACTACCTTACATTGCTTGGATGAAGCCTACTTGGTCATGATGTATGATTTTTTTGATGACTTGTTGCATTCTGTTTGCCAGCATGTTGTTAAGTGTCTATTACAGAGATTGGCTTGTAGTTCTCTTTTTTGGTTGGGTCTTTGTCTGATTTTGGAATCAGGGTGATGCTAGCTTCTAGGAATTTTTTTAAACTTATATTTGAGAGCTAAAAGTATTGTCCTTTATTTGCTCCCTGCATAGTAAAACATGACTAGAAATATATAAACAAAATGTATAATGTTTATGTTTTAAAATAGAATATTTTTCTTACTAATTTAATTTCTTTTGGCCCTAATTGTTTCTAGAAACAGCCTGAAAATAACAATTGGCTATTGGTGTGAGTTTTCTTTATTTTACTATTGGAAGACTTAAACTACATTAGTATATTTAAAGGTTTAAATATAGCACTGCTTACTTAATACTTAATAGAAATTGTTTTCAGGTGGAAGTGAGTTTTGGTCAAATCATAGCTATATTAATTTTTTTTCTTTGATTTTTGTTTTTGTACTTGGGATGGACCCAGGGCCTTCTCACTGACTTACATCCCCAGCCGTTTTTTTTTTTTGAGACAGAATCTTGCTGAGTCACTAAGTTGCTTAGGCTAGACTTGAACTTGAGAGCCTACTGCTTTAGCCTCAAAGAATGCTCAGATTACAGGCTTGCACCACCAGGCCAGGGTAATAAATGATTATTTAAACTAAGTTAAAAAAAAAAAACAAACTAGGGCTAGGGATTTAGCTCAGTGGTTCTGCCGCATGCTTCGCAAGTGCAAGGTCCCGAGTTTGATCTCCAGTACCAAAAAACAAACAACTAGGTTTTGGCCAAGTTGACTAACTAATCTAGGTTTTAAAAGTCAAAGGTCCACAGGCTGGCTATGGCCTGTTTGGAGCCAGACTGGATAGTAGGAGAGTGACAGGCAAGCAAAGCTTCATCTATATATGCAGCTGTTCCCCATTGCTCGAATTATTGCCTGAGTTCTACCTCAACATTAAATTGTCATAGGAGCATGGTCCTTACTGTGAACTCTGCAAACCGGGGGAGGGTCTAGGTTGCATGCACCTTTGAGTTACCCTGAAACTTGTCCAGGGAAAAATTGTCTTCCATAAAACCGGTACTTGGTGCCAAAAAGGTTGAGGACTGCTGTTTCAGTTGATAATACTTGAGTTTGGTTAATCTCCTTTGGTGATTGTTTCCAGCCGGTGGTTCATTTCTGAAATGTCAAAAAGGGATAGAAATAGGGCAAAATGCTGTCCCCTTTCTGTTTTCTCCTGTATTTCAGTTGAAGCAAGAAACTACATTCCTTTTGTAAAAGGAGAGAGAGAGAGAGAAGGACTTGAGAAGACAAAAAATGTTTAGCCTTTAGCATTTCTGGAGCGGTTACTTACCAGGGAAAAACAGGTAGTTTAGGGAGGCATATTCCTGCCCACTGTTTTCCCTTCCTCTTTTGTTCTTGTACCTAATTAGAGATGGGGAAAAAAAAAGATTCTACCGTGTTTAGAACTTAAAATAAACCTCATCACTAGCAAAAGCAGTATTTTTACAGGTGGATTTATTTATTTGCTGTTGAATGAGGCTGCTGGATGCAGATGAACTATGTCTTGTTATCATTAGGCAATAAGGAAATTGCTGTGATCCTTTAGATATACATAAGAACGTATGAGGCTTTGTTTGTTTTTTGGTTTGGTTTTTTGAGACAGAGTCTTGCTCTGTAGTTCAAGCTGTCTTTGAGCTCGCTATGCAGCCCAGGCTGGCCTTGAACTAAGAGCTGTCCTGCTTCAGCTTTCTGAGTGCTGGGATTACAGAGGTGCGGCACCATGCCCAGCTCCTATGAGGCTTTTATATTCCTTTCCAAGATGAAGACTAATTTAATTAGATATATCATCATATTTGGCTTATCTGTTGTGTACTGTGATATATTACATCACCAAGTTTATTTTAAATAATGCAAAGTTGGTCATACTTAATATTTCTGTGTAGCTACAAATGATTTCCATCTTGGTTGGCCAGACATATGTTGAGATAATTCTCTTGCAATCTGAATTACAGGAGTATATCTTGCAGAGAGTGGTGGCACACATGTGTAATGCTAGCACTCTAGAAGGCTGAGGCAGGAGAATTGCCAAGCCTGAGCAACTTTTCGAGATCCTGTCTTAAACAAAGAAAGGTTGGGATGTAGCACAGAGTGAAGGCCCTGGGTTCAAGTCAAGTACTGAAAAAAAAGTATTTATCAGAAAGTTTATCAGGTAAGATACTTAGGTGCTGCCAAGAACAATCCACCAAATTTTTACAAAGTAATAGTCATAACTGGGTATTGTATCCTTTTATTGATTTCACATTGAGTCAGGCTTACTTTTAAAATCCTAGAGAGGGTAGAAAAAGTAAATAGTAGAACTTAATGCTTTTTGGAATATCTAATTGCCACAAATGTATTTGAACCAAGCACTTCGGAATATGATGTCTTATAAATGTGATACTAACATTGACATCCAGGAGGTATTGCTGTTAATTTTTTTCTCTTTCTCACAGTCATCAGGTGGGCAATGAACAGTCTTAACTTTTAACATAGTCTTACCTGTTCCCATTCTTTCTAGCCATTATAATGACAGTTATACCCTAAGTCTTGTTTTTTTAATTGCAATATAGTTTATGTACCATAACATTTAGCATTTTGAAGTTGCATTTCATTGGTCTTTAGTCATGAAGAAGTCATTGCTGTATATGATTCTAGAACATTTTCATCAGTATAGAAAGAACCTTTAGACGCATTAACAGTCACTCCCATTTTTCCTTCCCCCTCCTCAGGTACCCACTAATGTACTTTCTGCCTCAATGGATTTGCCTGAGCTAGACATCTACTTGAGATTTTAGAAGCTGATTACTATCAGCCTATAGTCTGTGCATGCCTATAGTCTCAGCACTTGGGAGGAAGGCTGAAGCAGGAGGATTGCTACAAATTCAAGGCCTCTCTGGGCTACATAATGATTTTAAGGTCAGCCTGAACTACATAGTGAGACCCTATCTCAAAAAAATAAACCAAAAAACAACAAAATCAGATTACCAACTAGCCAAATATACCAAATAATGTAGCCCAGAAAGTGTGATCCTGTGGTCATAAAGTGCACGGACTCTGTAGCCATGTGGTCTGGGTTTGAAACCTGATTTTGCCATCTATAAGCTGTATACTCTTGGAGAAATAATTTATCTTGTGTGCCCTTTTTCCATATTTCTCTACAAGTATCTTAACTTTCCTGACCATACAATATTTATACATTATGGACATATATATATACATATATATATATGTAAATTACAAGTTCATATTTTTATATTCATATAATACTTTTAGATAAGGATCATACTATTTTGTGGTTTAATAGTTGCTCATACTGTTATGCTTCAAAAATGTTAATGACTACGTAGTCATCCACTGTGTGAATTTATAAAATGTACTTGCTAAGTTCTCTATTAGGTATTTTTCTCATTTTTATAATTAGTGTTATAATAAACATCCTTGCTCATTGTTTTTTGTCTGGCTTTCAAGTAAATTTTTAAAGAATAGATTCCTTAAAAAGGATTAGTGGGTAAATAGGCATGAGCTTTTAAAAATATTTTGATAAGACATTACCCATATTGCTTCCAAGGAAGGTTGTACACAATTTAATGTAAGAAAATTTCACTTAGGATTAACCTGATTTGAAATTGGGGGGTTATATGTTAATTTTTGTAAGTTGATTTTTGATTATACCATTCAGTCATTTCAGCAAGCATACATTAAATGCCTATTATGTACCAGGTAATTTTTAGGCCCCAAGGATAGAGCAGTGCACAAATAGGTACAATTTCTAACCTCATAGAGTTGTCCTATGATAATCCAGATATTTGGCAGAGGGTTAAGTCTTATTTTATTTGAGTTAAAATTAAATAAATTATTTAGAAGAGAGGAAAATGTGCCTTAATCACCTCTCTTTGCTATTAGGTTTTTTTTTTCCAACTATCCAGCCCTGCATACATCTCAGAGATTATGTTTATGTGCTTGTTTCATTTTCAAAATTAACTTTCTTTTCTCTTCTTTCTTTTTCTTTTTTCTGTCTGTCTGTCTTGTTCTTTCTCCTTCCTTCCTTGCTCACTCTTTCTTCCTCCCTCCCTTCTTTCCTTTCTTTCCCTCCCTTTCTTCCCCTGTCCCTCCCTCCCTCCTTTCCTTCCTATGCTCTGTACTAGGCATTAAATATTTACTTGTTTCCAGGAAACTTTGGTGTGTCTGGGTTATATCTGGGATAAATCTGAAGATTAGCAGATAGAAGGTTCCTCAGAGTCCCTTTTTATGACCTTTTGTTTTTATAATAATTTATCTGGTTCTGTTTAAATACCAAATAAGAAGTGATGTTACTTTAAACTATAGTTATTCTAATCATATTATTTCATGGATATTGCATCTTTAAACAGGTTGAATCATTTATTTTGGACCAAGAAGATCTGGATAACCCGGTGCTTAAAACAACATCAGAGATATTCTTATCAAGTACTACAGAAGGAGCAGACTTACGCACTGTGGATCCAGAGACACAGGCACGACTAGAAGCATTGCTAGAAGCAGCAGGTACTTTCCTTTCATCTCTTTAAAGTGTAACTCTCTCTACAAAGTTACACAAGTTTATTCCCAAATTGCATAATATATTAAATTGGCAGTTTCTGTAAAATTTATTTTATTTCCTAATGAAAATGTTCACATTTTATATTTTAAAAATTCTTGGTTGAAGCTAGATGTGGTAGTGTAGACCTATAATCTGAGCTACTTGGGGCTGAGACAGGAGGATCATGAATTCGAGGCCAGTTTAGTTTATATATCAAGACCTCTTTATAACAAAACAAAACCTCCCACAAACAAAAACCCCCACACAATAAATGGTTTTTGGGCTCAATTCTGATATTTTTTTAAGGTAGTAAAGATAAAGTAGTGTTAGTTATTAAGGAAAACTTACCTACTCTCATTATCAGTTACATTATAGAGTAAAAAATGTAAGTGATATATTTAGGTTGTTAAATTATGACCTCTTTATCTTAACTGATTAGGGAACTCTGCATGTTGATTGATTTATGATGTTAATTAAATAAACATCTAAAAATTGAATAAAATTTTGTATTGAAATATACCCAGCTATGTCAACTACTTATTTAAGTATTAGAAAAGAAAAATCTGATAAGTGTTTATATCAATCACCTTTTTGCAGTTGGGATAAAATATCTGATGTAATACAGCTTAAAGGAAGAAGGATTCATTTCACAGTTCAGAGATTTCAGTCCATAGTAAGTTGGCTCCAAGGCAGAAACATCATGGTAGAGGACTGTGGCAGAGGAAATCTCTTCACCCTATGGTGGCCAGAAGCAGAAAGCAGGAATAGCCAGAGAAAAGACACACTCTTCAAAGGCACACCCCACTGACCTACACATCCTTCATCTAGGCCCACTTCCTACTAGGCCATTCAGGTATAAATCCAATGGTCTAATTCATTGATGAGGTTAACACTCTCAATACGTGAGTCTTTCAGGGACAGTTCATATTTAAACTATGGCAGTATGCTTTCATGATATATACTTATTATTTTATGTTGTACAGTGTGCTCATTGTTTGCTATGTGAAAGTTTCTTTCATACTGTAATGAAAACCTTTTACCTCTTAAAATTGTTTAGGAAGGAATTTAATTTTTCATTTTTTGTTGTTTTTTTTTTCTGTTTTCTGTTTTGGGGGTTTTTGTTTTGTTTTGTTTTGTTTTGTTTTTGAGACAGGGTCTCACTTAAGTAGTTGAGACTGACTTGGAACTCACTATGTAGCCCAGGCTGGTCTCGAACTTACAGCAATCCACCTGAGTGCTGGGATTATAGGCATGCACCACCACGCCCGGCTGGAATTTAATTTTTCTAATCTCTGTATGTGGCCTTTCCAGTAAGTTCACTTTATATAGCACTCCTTTTACTTAATTAATATATTTATATTTAAAATAGCTAGGCGTGGTAGTGTATGCCTGTGATCCTGATCCTTGGGAGGCTGAGGCAGGAGAATCATCATGAGTTTGAGGCCAGTCTGGGGTATATAATGAGTCACAGCCAGCCTGAACTACACTGTGAGACCTTGACCCCCCAAAAAAAGTTTTTAAATGTGTAAAAAATTTCATCTATGTATTTTAATAAGCATAATATTAAAAAGAGTCATTCAGAAACATAGTGGCCTTTAATATATTTGATATTGAAGGAAGAAAAACTATTGAAATTCACCAGTTAATGAGTAGAGAAAACTAAGGTATAATGGAAATTAAGCATTTTAATATTTTTTTCTTAAAAAGATACAGATATGTTAGGAATGTGTTTACTTGCTATCATTTTGTAATTCCATTTCCTGTTATGGAAAAGCATAGGTATAATTTGTAGCAGATTGGCTTTTAGTCATCTGTGTTTGGAACTGATAGAAATTTAAAATTAGACAACAAAATATTTGAGTGTCCAGCAGAAGTTTGTGGTATGGTGGATTGATCATACAAGGCAACTATACTACTACTGAGCCACATCCCTAGACCCAAAGACTCTGATTTAGGGCAGCACTAGTTAAAAACAAAGCCCCAAAGTGTAAAGATGAAAACAATTGGATGTCCCTCCTTCTAGTTTAGATTTCTTCTTAAGCTTCTACTAGTGAGATATATATTTATTTATTCATGGTCTCCTACTAGTGATATATCTATCTGATGTAAGATCTGCAATAGCAGTGCCATGAATCAGCTTTCTTTATTTTCTGTGCTTTAGAACTTTACATATGTTTTGCTTAAAGAAAAGAAATGTGAGCCAGGTATGGTGCACATGTGTAATCCCAGCACTGAGGGAGGTTGAGGCAGGATTGCAAGTTTTAGTTTCATCTGGGCAAAACTGTCTCAAAATAGAAAGAGCTGAGGATGTAACTCAGTGGTAGAGTGTACTGGGTGCAATTCTTAGTACTGACGAGAGAGGAGAGAGAGACAAATACATAGACACACACATATGTACACACACACAGAAAGAGAGAAAAATATGGAGGAATGTGTTTTTTTTCTCCAAGTCTTCTAGAAATAATTTGTTTGCTTCCAAGCCCAAGTTTGTTTACTGATAGTAGTATATCTTTAGTGTGCTTTATATGAACTCTACACCATGACTACCAATTAATGATTTTATATTCATACCTCTCTTTTGGTACACTGTGATTCTCATTC